ATACAATTTTTACCACCAATTGAACAGTAGCCAGAAAAGAATGCTTATTTAGTTTCAAAAATGAAGGATTCTTTGAAATAGACATAATTTAATTAACTATAAGTTTTAAACAAATTTGTTTTTTTACTTCAAATATTTACAAATTACAAATTATTAACTAATATAACAATTTATGACAAAATTCAATATTCAATTTAAAAAATATCAAGGGTTTTCAAATAAATAAATTAAAAGAATCGAAGTTTGAATGTATATAAGCACTTTTACATGTCTTTATAAACAAAAAGTTATTTGATTTTTTGTTTTAATTTATTAAAAAACTAATTATTTGTATTTTTGTTATTATTTTGTCGAAAACTCGACAAAATACATTTCAAATGTTATTATTTTCACTATTTTCTTGAATATTGAATTTTAAACACTTTATTGGTAACTTATAATTCAAAAATAACAATTTTATACAAAATATTAATGTTCCAGTTATTGATAAACAATGTTAAAAAACTGAAAATACAAAATGAATTATCCATTGACGTGGATTATTGCATTTTTTCTTTTTGTTGTTTATGGACAAAACTGTTATTATAACCAAATTACAACAACATGTACACACTCTTCATATTGTCGATTGCTAAACAATTTGTTAATTGGACTAGAAAATAACACAACAAAATTTACGTTTACAATGACCGAAAATTCCAATATTAATTGTTACAATATTGTACCATATAATAATAATTATCAAATAATAGCGCATGGTTATCCGAAAATTGTGATGGAACCATATTCCAGCTTTATTGATGTTAACGCATTAATTTTGACCGAAAATAGTTTTCTTAATATGACAAACAGTTCTATTTATTTAAAAAATAGCACTCACGTTTACTTAAATGGAAGTGCTAGCGCATTACTTAACGGATGTTCTAACATAACAACCAATAGTTCCGATTCAACATCAACAATATTTTTATCTGAAAAATCTGTTATTTATTTTAAAAATAAATCTTCTTGTACAAATTTTACTTCAATAGATATGAAAAACTACACCACTCTACTGATGGAAGATAATTCAAATGTTGTGTTATCGGGAATGTTATATTTAAAGAATTACTCAAAACTAACAATGAATGGAAATTCATACTTTCAAATTAATAGTGGAATTACAGCAACTGGAAATTCTTCTTTAACATTTGAAAATAATTCGTTTCTTAACACTAGCCTACAAAGCAGTTTTTATGACAATGTCAAAATTATTTTAAAAGACAATTCCAATATCCAAATGGGTAGTGTTAGTATTAAAACAGGAACTTTAAATATGTATAATAATACAAGCATAACAACAAGTGGTACTTCTATAATGAATTGTTCCATCTTAAAATTGTATGATAATAACACATCTTTGTTTATGACAGACAATTCTAAAATCAATATTTATATCTATTGTTCTTTAAATGGAAATATCAGTTTGACAAATCAGGCAACATTAACAGTGAATAGAAACCTCTCTCTTGAAAACGAAGGAACAACTATAATGAATGATAACACAAAAATCGAAGCTAACCAATGTTCATTATCTTCCAAAAATTTTGAAATGAATGGAAATGCAACACTATCTTGCCAGGACAAGTTAGAAATAAACTCACTTTTTGTTCTGAAAGACAATTCTAATGGTTCAGTTAAAGGAGATGTTATATTATTTGATAATACTCAAATATATATAATGGGACACTCGGCAATAACAACAAATGGAAACGTTGTGGTTAGTGGTCAGTCATATATATCTAAAACATTAAATATGAACGAAAGATCAATTTTTAAAATCATTGGAACATTTGTTACTGATTACAACACGACTTTGATAATGCAAGGAAATTCAATGATAAATTCCACACAAATTATCACGTTTTATGGTAATTCAAGTGTATTTCTTAATGACAATTGTACTTTAAAAACATACGACTCAGTTTATATGAATGGAAATAGTTCTTTAGAAATGAATGGAACTGCATTGCTTGAGACTCAAAATGTTTTGTATGTTACAGATAACAGTACATTATTGATGGATCAAAACTCTAAAATGTATATCGGTGGGTTTGTCAAAATATATAATGCGTTTGAATATCAACGGCCGACCGATATACGAAAGTATTACAAAGGTGGTTTAAAAGTGTATCAAGGCGCTTTTCTGACTGCTACAAATGTGACTGTTATAAAAGGAAACTTATATATATGTGGTATCTCTAATTACAAAGAAGATATCCCAAAAATAGAAGTAGACAATTTTGGTTGTGAAAATGGTTTTATATTTTTTGGGCAAGACTCATTAATAATAACTCATACAAACGTCAACTTGTCTTTATGCACTTTAGACGTTTCTTTTCGAACAATTGGTGATATCCCACTTTTCATCACACACAACTTCGATCAAAGAAATTTTACTATTACAGCGACTAATGATTTTGATTTAATTTATACCGACAATGTTTATTCAGGAAGTATAAATGGCGCGTCCAAATTATTATTAAATGGCAAATTGACTCGAATAGGAAGTTCAGAGAAAATATTTTGCCATTTGAATAAAGTCGATTTATCAACAAAAAGATGGAGTTATACGGAACCATACTGTCCTCTTGGAAATGATGTTGATTGGTACATCACACCGTTGTATAATGTGACTTCACTGTTGATTGAAAACACGACAAAAAGTGACACAATGGTATTGAAAAGACACCAAAAACAAACTGAGTTGTATTCAGATGAAAGCGCCACAATTTTTGATACACAAATTTCATTTTATAAAACAGACAATTTTGTTGTTGGTATTTTAGCAAACAAAGTCACTGAAATATCAACAATGAATTTATCAAAAAATGTTTTATTTATTTCAGAAACAAATTTATATCATGAGGGAATCACATTTCGTGCCGGTTTAAACAAAAATTACACATTAACACCGATATTATATCCAATTTGTGAATACCCATTAATGTACAATAAAACCAATCATTCATGTTACACTTCAGTAGAGTGTAGTGATACAAATTGTAAGTATTGTCCATCAGATACACGGTCTTGTGTTCAATGTCATTCTTCGTATTCTTTAGAAAGCGGAAAGTGTGTTAATATAACAAATTGTTTATATACAAAAGCAAATCGGTGTCTGTTTTGTTCCAAGGGATATCATTTACAAACAAATGGTACGTGTAGTCTGATAAACAACTGTGCTATAATTGAGTTTGATGGAAAATGCCAATTGTGTAATTACAACAAACAGTTGATTAATATAAATGGGGATTGTATTGAAAAAGATTCCAACATATTAAATTCAAGCGAACACACTATTGTTTCGTGTAACAAAGGGTTTTACATCAATTCAATGACGTGTAAAAATTGTACAGACACATACTCCAACTCCCTATGGTGTGAAAATGGAAGAACGACGAAGTGTCAATCAACAAGTGAAATGACACCAAATGGAAAATGTGATATTAAAATATGTGACAACAAGAATGAGTCCAATGTGAGATGTTCAGTTGACATACCAGACTGTCTGTATACCACAAACAACAAGTGTATTGAATGCAAACAAAATTATTATATTTATAATAATACGTGTCAATTGTTGAATGACTCACATTGCTTGTTGTCAAACACATTTGGATGTACATCTTGTGAAGACAATTTTTATCTCACTGACACTCAAAGTTGTGAACGTTGTGATGATAATTGTTTGACTTGTATTTCTAATTCGAGAAAGTGTCTAAGTTGTGCAAATGATTATTTTTTAGCTAATTACAAATGTGAAACAAATGATAACTTAAAATTAAAATGCGACTCATTTTCAAAAAGCGGAGGGTGTGTTATTTGTAAAAGGGGGTATTACAGAGTTGTTCTTGACTGTTACGACTGTGATGTTAAATGTGAAACGTGTAATAACAATATCACATGTCTTTCTTGTAACACAACAAATTATAGAACTAAAAGTGGAGATTGCCTTCCACAATCGTCTATAGTTGGATGTGATAATGTAACATCAAGCGGCTGTTCAAAATGCTCAGAACACTATTTTGAAATCAATGGAAACGAATGTGACAAGTGTGATGAGAATTGTAAAGCGTGTGTTTCACAAACAACATGTGTGACTTGTTCTTCTGATATGGTTTTATCGTCATATGGTGAATGTCTGAATATATCTTCCATTTCAAAATGTCTTGAAATTACAAATTCACAATGCACAAAATGTGAATTTTGGAATTCACCTAATTTTGAAAAGAAATATTGTGAAACAAAAGTGGTGTGGTGGGTCATATTGATATCAGTGCTAGTTATTATAGTCTTTCTCTTTTTCACATTTGTTGCAATATTTTTGATAACAAGAACAATTTTGGCACATTTTCATCAAAAAGAAGTTGAAAAGACGACAACTATATTTGCAATGAAATTATCAAATGTTAATTTCATATTACTTCGTGGGGGAATAAGCGTTCAGAGTAAACAAATCGATTTTAATTCAGACATCGAAGAAATGCCAGTTAATGAAGAAACCAAACAGACTTTTTGTGTTGGAAATTCATCGAAAAATGTTGTTAAAATTCAATTCACAATTTCTTCAAAAATCAACAAATTAACAATCAGATTTGACCCAGAAATTGTGGTGTTGAAAAGTGGGTTTGCTTGCGAATTTTCATTATATTTAACACCACAATGTACTTGTCATATCACTGATACTATTCAAATTGTTTCTAAAAATATTAAAACTATATTTTAATTATATTAAATAATAAAAATTCTCAATATTACATTTTTGTTTCAGTTTGTATGGAAATAATTTTAAAATAACCCAAAAATGCGCTATTATTGTTAAATTTTTTTAAATTACAAGAATATAGTTATTTATTATGATATAGTTATATTTTATTATATTTAATAATAAAACCCATAATTGTAAATAATTTTAATATTTGAAAAATAATATAAAAATTAATAATTAAATAAGGCACTACATCAGATTTAATTTCAGTAATTAATTTTATCATAAGTGCCATAGATATGTCGATTGGTTTGTACTTTAGTACTATATACTTTAGAAAAAAACTTTCGGAATAATATTATTATTATGGCTATTAATAGCTTTTTACTTACCTTTGCATAAAGAAACTCACTTTAATTATTTAAAATTAAATATTCGTCTTTTTACTATAAAACAAACTATACTCATCAAAAAAAACTATGTTTAGTATATCCATAGTTCAACAACTATATAAAGTTTGTAAAATTTATTTAAAAAATAAACCATAATTAACTATAATTATAATACTCGAAAAAAAGCAAATAAAATAAATGGTAAAAAAATTTATTTGGTACAAATAGTATCCAAAACAACAATATTAAAAATTTGACAAAATTTACATTTATCAATTCAAATTAAATCATTTTGAGTTGTTGTACAATTTTGTTATAAACTATTGGGCAACAAATTTAATATATTTAATATATATATGTGTTTATATTTTTATCCAAAATACTATTATGCCCAAACAGATACATATTATTTAATTTGGTGGAATCATTTTCGTTGTTAGTATGAAGTTACATGTTTAAAAATTTTAATTTTTTATTTAAATTGTATTATATTTTTCATAAAAGTGTGAAAATAAACAGTAATTTTTTATGAATCTTTTTTATAAAACCATCAACAAGTAATAATTAAATTTGTTTTTATTTTACTTTGATAATTGTTGTGATGTTAAAGAAATACAATGGTTTCATTTTGTGTGTTGTGAGATGAAAAATATATATATAATGATAAGCAACTAAAAATAAAAAAAATAAATAACACTTGTATATATTTGTTAACAAAAGTTGTTGTATTATATTTGTAAATAACGACGCAATGACTTATTTAAAAAAAGTATTATACTATGACAAATTCTTAAAGATTTTTTCATTGAACAGACGAAATGTCATAATTATTAAACATAAGCTTTAATCAGAAATAAAATTATTCATCTCTTGATGTTTTATCAAAAAAAAACATATCAATAATAATCTAAACAAATGTTTATTTTTTATTTATACATTCAAAGGTTTTGTAATGCACTAACTTTGTTTTTTCAATTAATTAAAAGGTATACAACTTAGAGACAACTTTAAATGTGTAAAACTATACATATGTTAATCGACTTCATTTTTTAAATCACATTTTTAACAATTAACGTAATTAAAATAATTTCATCATAGTAATTAATCAATACAACCTAATTAATTATTTTCATTGTTTGTGTTATCGTTAATATTTACATGATATTTTGGTTATAAACATTACTCAGCTGTTTAATGTCGTGTTCATCATATACTCTAATAAGTTATTATTCCGACATCTTAACATTTTACATGATTAAATTTTTATTTATTAAGTTGTGTTTGTAGTTAAAGTGTACTTTATTGATAATGTGTCTTTGTTATTCGTAGTTTTATTGTATGTATTGTTGTAATTAATAAACAATTAAACCGGTTGTTTAGGTTCTGACAAATGTACGCAATTGTTCTAGATGACGAAAAACATTTTTATCATTTTGGTTTTATATTATTCAATGTTTTAATGTTAAATATTGTTTGTTTAATTCAAATATCTCTTATCACTTTAAATAACATCGAACAAAATTCAAGTAGTCTAAAAATCGGGAAATCTCGAGTTTATTAAATAAATTTCCGTTTTTTTAGAGTTTATATTATGTGCATAAAGAATACACAAGCCAAAAAAGGAAAATCATCAAAAATTGGATTAATATCCCTGTAAAAACAGGCCAAAACATAAATAAGGGTGTTATTTTAAGTGTTATTACAAAACTCATTTATTATTTATTGTATTTTATTGACTGTTCAAAACAAAAATTAATACATTTTTTAAAAATGTAATATAATAAATTCCAACGTGTAACAACACATTCACTTTGTTGTATTTGTATGGCGATATTTTTCATGTTGACAACGATATAATTATTGAACACAAAAAGTATTTTTTAAAATCAATTTATCGATTTGTTTATATTTTTTTCATTTATGAAAACTATAATTTAATAACAAAATTAATTTAAGTAAGTCAAAATGTTATTTGTTTTTGTTTTTTCATTACAATCCATATATAAATTATTTTGATTAATGGCAAATTAACCGAAATAATCAAGTTTTTGGTTGAATGAACAATTATATAGCAATTTAAATAAAAACTATATTTTATTATTTTGAAGAAATTTTAATATATTATTTAAAAAACCATTGAAATAGTAAATTATTTTTTAAGTGAGTTACTTTTATAAAAGTGAGTCAAAAAGCGAAGAAGTGAGTCATTTTTTGACAAGTAAGTGATAAAAGTGAGAAGTGAGTTAATAGCCAATATACACAAATAAAACAAATCAAAATAAATATAATAGTTCTTAATATTATTATACATATTTTCTGAATTGTTAAATATAGTTATTAATAATATTTTGTTTAACTTATTTTTAATAAAAATATTTATTATTAATATTATTTTTATAGTTTTATAATATCATTGATATTATTTATTTGACATACACAATAAAAATTAATTAACTTATCAAAAACCAAAAAATTGTCCATAAAATACACTATTTTGTTTATAAGACTATTTACTCAAACATATTATTAAAAAAATTATTATTAAAAAAACAAAAAATACAAGAACGTGTATTTTTTGTTTTAATTACATTTCCAATATTAATTTTTCATGATATAAATCACGGGTATTAAGCCCAAAGTTTATTGATACAATGATTGTTACCTAATTTATAGAATAATCAATTAAAGATGTATTTGTTTAAAAATATAAAAAGTGTACTTATTTAATAATTTAATAGTTATTTTTTTAAACTTTTAATAAATTATCATTTTGAAACATTAAATAGTAATTATCGTTAACTCACAAAACATTCAATTATCATCAAAATATCTTTGAAGCATTTTAACAGCATCATTAATTTGCATTCGATTTTCAGTATCTTGTCGCCAACAAGCAGATATAATATCATATACATTGTTTGGAATACCATCAATTATTTCAAGGCGTTTTCCCGACGAAATAAAATCAGCTATGGACCAAGCAAACATAAAACTTTGTTTTGGATATGGGTCTGTCCAACCAAAGCACTCGTACATAGTGATTGCAAACGAATACACGTCAGCTGGTTTCTTGTAGTGTTGTTTATTAAGAATTTCTGGTGCCATGTATTTTGGAGTTCCGATACCTTTTGTGAATGTCATGTTGGTCATCATCATATTGACGTTTCTTGCACTTCCAAAGTCAGTCAGCTTTGCATTGACACCATCGTTTAGTTCAATTGAAAAGACAAGAATGTTGTCTGGTTTGATGTCTCTGTGCAATATCCCGTTCTCGTGTAAATACAATATTCCCTTTGCTGCATCCAACAGCATTTTGACACGCAACTTCATGTCAACTTCATCACTCTTTTTGTGTTTGATCAAATCCTGTAAACTCCCATATTCTGCAAATTCAGAAACCATGCAAATGTGACTTGGTATAAATACAGCACCATAGAAGTGGACTATATACTCATTTCTGAACTTGTCTAACATACTCACTTCCTTCTCAAACTCGTCACATTTTTCTTTGTCTTCATTGCTGTTTTTCATCTTTTTGATTGCAACTGTGTTTCCTCTGAATGTGCCTTTAAACACAACACCAAATGAGCCTTCACCAAGTTTCTTCTCTTCAATCAATTCGTCGTAATCAAGTTTGGTGCTGTTTTCAGTGGCACACACAATTTTAAAATTGTTAGTACACACCTCACCACTGTTCAGTTTAAGTGTGATAATGACGATATTGTCATTTAAATTCAAAGTACAATGCGGCGTTATAAATATTTCAAATTCGCAAGCAAACCCACTTTTTAAATTCACCAATTTTGGTTCAGTTCGAATTGAATATTTTTCACAGTTTTCTTTTGTGGTGATTTGGACTTTCATATTACTTTTTGATTTGTTTCCAACACAAAGAAGTGAACGGCTTTCTTTGTCAACTAAAAGTAGTTTTTCATCTTCATTAAAATTTAACGATTTCATATTGACCATCACATCACCCGATAGTATCACCATTTCTATATTCGATCGTTTCATATCAAACACGCAAATCTTTTGTTCTTCGATTTTTCTTTTACGACGCTGAATTATAATAACTGTTATTACTATAATTATAATAATAATTATTATTAATATTGAGACGACACTCACTGGTAGACCAATTATGAGTCCATATCTCACTATTTTGTCACAAGAAAGTTTATCACTACTTAATTCGTGATTTTCAGAACATTTTGTACAGACGTTGTTTGATGATGAAATGCAATTTGGAATAATTGAAAATTCATAACAGAAGTCATTCACCAAAATGTTGTTTTCACTACAATTTGTACAAATATCAATTTTTGAACATTCATTGCACTTTTCATGACACTTTTCGCATGTGTTGTCTTTGTTGTAATACCCCCTTTCACATACAATACACCCATCAACAGTGACATTTAAACAATGAAGTAACTCAGACTGTGGATTACAATACCATGTCGAGTTTTGTGGCGTTCGATAATAACTTTCATTGCATGATATACAATTTCCATTGTTTGTACATGTAGAACATGATATATCACACGGTTCACAAGTTTTGCCATCAGACGATCGCATGTATCCATTTTTACAAACAACACAGCCAGTGTAGTCAGGATTCATCAAATCACACAATTTAAATATGTCATTGATAGCTGTGCATTGACCACCATTTGATATGTATGAATACTGATCACATGACGTACAATAAGTTTTATTGTAACAATTGATGCAGGGATATTCACATTCAATGCATTCACCCTTTAAATAATAATAACCATCTGAACACCTTTGACACCCTTTGGGACTTTTCTTGTTACAATTCGATTCAAATAAATTGTCTGTTTCTTCTGTTTTTATGTTTTGCTTAATTCTTTCTTGTCTATAATTTTTGTCTGTTATTAAATCACTCATTGTATTGTTATTGATATCAGTTGTGTTGTCTGTGCTATTTGTAACATTTGAAGTCGAATTGCTCAATAACACACATCCACCATTTTCCAAATAAAACTCCGCTTCGCATTCAAAACAACTTTCATTTGCAACATCAACATAAATACAATTTGGATAATTCTCATTTTTGTTTTTACATTCATTGACATCTTTATAAAACCCTTCACCGCAAGATATGCAAATAACATCATGATTTAAGCATTTGATGTCATCGAAAGATACACACCGACCTTCACTCATCATTTTTGAATTGCACTTAATACAATAGTCTTTGTTTTGTATCAAACATTCGTTGTCATTTGTTATGCAACTTCCATATGCCAAATGTTGATCTGAATTACATTTGACGCATCGACTATGTTGAATTGCTATACACGTTAAATCAACAATACAAACGTTGTCATCTGATAATAGAGTATTTGTATTACAAACATAGTCTATTTTCTTTCCATTAAACATTTGACACTTTTTGGATGCTCCACAGTTTGTTATTTCACCACTTTCGTTTGTATAATAAAAATCATTTGCCCTGTAACAATAATCATTTTGTGCCACGTCACAATTATCAATTTTACCACAGCCAATTTCTTTGTCACAGAAATAACACTCGGAATTACTTCCATTCAAATAATTCTTCTGATATTTACAGTCTGCTTCGATATCACATTTTCCATTTAAAGAAATCACGTTTGTGCTGCACTTGTCACACGACTTTGTTGAGTATTTTAAGCACTTTGTGTCATTATTTTGTTCACATTTATAATTTATCAAATAATGAGTTTCATCACAGCCAAAACAGTTGTTATCGACTTGATTTGTACATCCTTCGTTATTTTCAATTTTATTTGCTGTTGATGAATTGTAATGTGATGTTGTTGTATAAGCAAGTAAACAAGAAATATTATCATCAGAAAGGTAATACGGCTCAAAACACTTTGTGCACTTTTGTATATTTCTTTCATATTCACAAATCTGGCATTTTGGAATAACTTCGTAACAATTCACACACTCTTTTGTGGTACTTTTTATTGTACCAGTTTCACATTTTGAACAATTGTTGTTTCTAACTATATAATTGTCACTGCAACTCATACACACACTTTCACTTTGGGAACATTTCTCGCAATTTGTGTGTATCTCATGACAATCAAGACAATCTTTATCTTTTAAAAAGTAGCCAAACTCACATTGTTTACAAATCCTTTCACTTTCAGTTTCTAATGTTGAGCACATCGCACAATTTCCATTTAAAGAACATGAAATACAAATGGAATCAACCTCCTTTTGTCCAGATGGACAAATCGAACAGTCTCCAGTTGTAGATACACAATATGTGCAATTTGTTGGGCAGTTTTCACAGACATCATTTCCTCCTTTTGAAAATGTTTTATCAGAACATTTTGTGCACTTCCCATCATTAAAACCGTATCCAGCTTGACATGTTAAACATTGACCAGTCATATAATCACATGTTTGACAACTGATGTCACATTCATAACAAAATGTCTTTCCAGTCTCATTCTGGAACGTATTATTTAGACACGTTTCACATTTTGAATTGACTCCTTTTGTTCCAACTCCACAAATTTGACAATTTTTATCAACTAATTCGTATCCAAAAATACATAAAGTACAATCACCAGTGGAAGGATTACAACCATTGCACTTCGAGTCACATGAACTACATTTTGATGATTGTTGATAAGAAAATGTGTTTTCTGAGCAATATTTACACGACGAAGAGGCGACATCGGAGTATGAACCTGATGGGCAAATGTCACATCTATCCGTGACTCGATTTGCATAAAACCCTGCATCACAGCCTTTGCATTGATAATCGGTAAAAATGTATCCAGCAACACACTTACATTTACCGGTTGTTTTATCACATATATTAAGACAATTCGAATCACAGTTTTGACATGTAGTAGTGCCAGTTTCTTTTGAAAATGTTCCATCTGTGCACTCAATACAAGAAGTGGAGTTTTGGTTTGAAAACGTTCCCAACCCACACAAAGTACAGACTCCATTTAATGAAAATGACCCGGATGGACACATTTCACATTTTCCATTTTTTAAAACGCTTCCCTGATAACAAGAAAGACAGTCTCCGTTTGTATTATCACAACTCTTGCATGAAGAATTACATAGTAAACACGCAAAACTTCCATAAGACAGCGTGTAAGTCATTTCTGGACATGTTGTACATTTTGTTGCTGCCATTGTTGACGAATAAGTACCCAATTTACAACTCAAACATTTCCCTTCAAAAAGATAATTCCCTACAAAACATAAAGTGCAATTTCCACTTTTACTATCACACTTATTACAAGTGCTATTGCATTCGATACATGCCGAATATCCTTCATTGGAATAAAAACCACTTGCACATGCTGTACAACCGGGACTGTTTTCTAGAGAAAAGTACCCCGCAGCACACAAAGGGCATTGATTTAAATTGGTCAAATACCTACCAGCAGGGCAAGAAGTACATTTACCGGTTGTCACAGAACAAGTTAAACACGTAGAATTACATTTGGTACAACTCGATGAATTTGTAAGTGAATAGGTGCCATCTGGACAATCCAAACAGGCAACACTATTTTGAATTGAATATGTTCCTGCCCAACATACTGGACAAACACTTTGTTTGTTTTTGTTGTTATAAGTGCCGGCGGGACAGTCAATGCAACTTGGAGATTTCGAAGGTGCATACGTGCCAATTCCACACTCGATACATCCTGATGATCCTAAAGTGGAGTAAGTCCCAAGTGGACAATCTGTGCATGTATTAGTACCACCAAGTGAATAATATCCGGCAGCACATTTTGTGCAAGTCGCATCTCCACTATTGGAAAAATACCCAGCAGAACATTTATAACATGAAGACGAACCTTCATTTGATGATTGCCCATTTGAACATTTATAACAACTTGAAAAACCTTTACCCGAATAAGATCCAGCTGGACAAGCAGTACATGTTGCGTCTCCACTGTTTGAGAAATAGCCGGCTGAACACTGTGTGCACAATTGATCACCAGCATTGGAGTAATATCCATTACTACACTTTATGCAAGTAGCGTTCGATGTATCTGGTTTTGTTCCAGCAGGGCATATTGTACAAGACGGCGACCCAACTACCGATACACTCCCAGTCTCACACATTACGCATGCTGAAGATCCTTCATTTGAATAAGAACCCTGACCACAATTTGAACAACCTGAAGCGCCTGCATTTGAATAAGTACCAGCTGGACAAATAGTACATGTTGCATCTCCACTTTTTGAGAAATAGCCAGCTAAACACTTTGTACATGTTTGATCACCAGAATTAGAATAATAACCACTGTCACAGATTTTACATGTTGAATTATATGAATATGGTCTATAGCCAGCCGGACATATCGTACAAATAGATGACCCGGCCACTGATACATATCCACTCTCACATTTGGTACAAATGGAAGCTGCTTCATGTGAATACGAACCTTGTTCACATTGTAAACAACTTGAAGCACCTTCCGCAGAATAATTTCCAGCTGAACAAGCACTACATGTTGCGTCTCCACTTTTTGAGAAATAGCCAGCTGGACACTTCGTGCAAGTACTATCACCAGAATTCGAGTAAGTACCACTGCTACAATTTGTGCAAGTAGAATTATAATAATTTGGTTTAGTACCAGCCGGACATATCGTACATGATGAAGACCCAGTAATAGATACACTCCCAGTCTCACACTTTGTGCATGCTGTAGCTCCTTCATTTGAGTAAAAACCTCGACCACAATTTGTGCAATTTGCAGCACCTTCTGCGGAGTATGTCCCAGCTGGACAAATAGTGCAAGTGGCGTTTCCGCTCTTTGAAAAATATCCAGCTGGACATATTGTGCAAGTTTTATCACCAGAATTGGAATAATAACCATCACCACAATTTGAACAAGTAGAGTTGTAATAATTTGGTTTTGTTCCAGCTGGACATATTGTACAAGTTTGTGCCCCATATCCAGAAACGTATCCACTCTCACACTTTGTGCATGCTGTAGCTCCTTCATTTGAGTAATAACCCTGACTACATCGTGCGCAGATTGAGGCACCTTCTGCGGAATATGTTCCAGCTGGACAAATAGTGCAAGTGGCGTTTCCGCTCTTTGAAAAATATCCAGCTGGACATATTGTGCAAGTTTGATCACCAGAATTGGAATAATAACCATCAGTACAATTTGTACAAGCTGAACTTCTTATATTTGACGTCTGACCAGCTGGACAGTTTGTACAAATAGTAGCACCACTCAAAGAAAAGGTGCCAGCAGAACACATTTTACATTCAGAGGTACCGACTTCATCCGTATAATAACCCTGACTACAATTCTTGCAAGAAGACGAATGAGCTGTCGAGTAAGTTCCCATCCCACACAACGTGCAACTTGAAGAAATTTTTGATGAATAAGAACCTGCTGGGCACTCCAAACAAACAGAAGCTGCTCTTACTGAGTAATAACCCGCAGAACAAAGAGTGCAACTTCCCGATTTTTCTGTAGACATGGTGCCAGCTGGACAGTCAGAACATCCCGTAGAACCAGAAATTGAAAATGTTCCAGCAGGACAATTGGTGCAAGTAATTGAACCTTCATTTTGACTGTATTTACCTTCTGCACAAGGCGTACAAGAAGAATTTCCTGAATTTGATTTATAAGTCCCTGAAGAACAGGGCAAACATTCAGAGTTTAATGGGTAAGTACCTGCTGCACAATAAGTCTGAGAAAATGAACGTAAAGGAAATAATAACCAAAACAAGGTAACTGCTAAATGAAATGGCGAGCAAATGATATGTAATATCATCAAGCTTTCTTTGGTTGATATTTTGAAGTTTGATTATAAACAAAAAGAAAGAAATTAATTAATAATTTAGCTAAAACATCTAATCAATTGGTTTTATTTTTAATAGAAAACAATACTAAAAATAGTTTAACTATTAGTATAAAAATAAATATTAGTAATTTTCTAAAATAAAATAATGAATTTAATAATATGTTATTATTAAATTATAATTAAATTAATAAAAAATTAAATTTGAATTTCAAATTCTATTAATTAAAATATTTAAAAAAACGAAAAACATGAAATATTTTGAAGACACTTATTCTATCGTCAATATTCTGTTGAAAATAAGTCACTCGTTTTTAAAAAGAATGTTTTATTTAACACAAAAACCATAAATCAACAAAAAAGTAATTATAAAAAAGCAAATAAAGTAATTCCAATTTTTATTAAAAACAGTATTTAACATCAAAAAATATTATTTCTTAACCTTACGAAGTGAAAACTGGATAATTTATATCCTTGATTTTTTTACTCAAAATAAGTCACTTTTTTATTTTTGTATTTGAACTAAAAAGATCTTAAATTAAGAACGGCGTGTCACAAACCAATTTAAATAATGAAAAATTGATAAAAATCGAAGCGCTCTCATGAAAATTTATGTGTATGTCTCGTAACAGCAAGTGTTGACTATTTTGAACACATGGAAAATAGGAAACATTGGTCTGTAAAGACCAGTAGTTTGCGCGAAAACTAATCGATTTCGTGTTTTGAATTTATTTTTAATTATTCTAAAAATAAATATGATCTAGATAAATCTTATCCAGATTTCACCTTCCCACAAAAAAAGTTGATTCAGTTGACTTGCTAAGGTTAAATTTGAATTTGAAATAATAGCCACAGACGATTAAAATGTATTACATATTATTTTCTAAAATGAAGTAGTTTTTAATACACAACAATTTGACGGTTAATCCATTTCTATGCAAAATTTGTAGAATAAAACACCAAAACAATATGATAAAAGTATTTTTTTAATTGAATTCTTGTTTGGTACGTTAATTATATTAATAATTTTATCAATAAAAATAAAAACAAATATTAAATGGTTGTTTATAAAAAAAGTTATTATATAGTTTTAAACTATTTTATCTAATAACTCAAAATTATTATTATTTCATTCCAGTCTGGGTTTAATTAAATAATCGGGTTTAATTCATTTGAAATAATTAAACCCGAAGTAAGATAAAATAATAAAAACTACAATTTTGAATTTTATTATCATAATCTTGTTTTTTTGTTTAAATTTGTGTAAAATGATTGGGTTTTACCCAAATTATTTAGAATATTTGTTTTTTGGATAAAAATGCATTATTTTTGTTTCTGAAACTATTTTTCGGTACTATAATATTATAAATTACTTATTATAAAATAATAAATAAATAAAAACGAACATAATAAACTCTAGTTTTTATTCGTATTTATTTATTTAAACACACTTGTTTCACCACCTTAACAAAGTATTTGTCGCGAGTGTTTTTTGAAGGAAGTCGACTTTTCAGTCACTGTTTGTGCGTCCCCATGTCACCCACTTTCCTTTTCCGTATTGTTTTGACGGATGTGGTTCCCTTTTCAAACGGGGCGTTCAGAAGGATCAGCGCCAAGGAGGACATTGAAAGTGTGTGGAACGGTTGCACAAACAGACCGCCTGTGCCTTCTTTTCGATAATCGTCTCACTCGGGTTCCACTGATTCAAGGTGAATTATCGACACATTTTTAATTCGGGAACCAGACCTAATATTATCCCAAGCAGAGGTTTCCAAAATAATTATTGCCGAAAATGTGGTATTATAACGTACGAATTTATAGAGAAAATGAACATTTTGGTTATAAAATAATGACGTGGGTAATTAGGATTGTGATTTTGGAAACCTCTGATCCCAAGTTTCCATTTACTATAATTTTAATTAAAATATTATATTAAATAGTTAAAAAAACTTTATTTTTAGAGACGATGAAAAAACCTTTACCATGGTCATTTGTTATTGATAGAATCAAATAATTATTAAATAATTATAACTATGAAACTACCGAAAGTTAATTCCAACAATTATTTTTGATTTAAAAATCATTTAAAATAATTTTCTTGAAAAAAAGTGGAATTAAACCCGATAGTTTTAAAATATTTTAAGTGAATTAAACCCGGATTATACTGTAATAGGGTTGATGGAATAAGTAATTGCATAATAAATCATTATAAAACAAATCTATAATTCAAATAATATTAATATTATTGTTTAAACTAAATAATAAAAATATTATACCAATAAATGAGTCGATTAGATGGATATCATATGATGATTGTCTCTCAATACTTTGTTACCATTGACGATTATATAAAATTAGAATGTGTTTGTAAAAAATATAAATGTAACATGGCAAGGTTTCATTTCAACCCGATTCAAATAAACAAAAAGACAATTAAATACTTTCCAAATATCAAAACATTAAATTTGTGGTCTTTTGATGATGAAAATTTTGGTAACAATTTAATTATACCTTTTCCAGAAGAAAAAATAGTTTTCTTTAAAATTAATATATGGTTTAGGGTTGGCTGCTCTGTGGCTGAACTACACGAAAACACAAATATTTCATTTAAAAATATCATATACTTAAAGAAGGAAAGAAAACTCGGAATTGAAATGTCAAAGAACACCAACGAATTGGCAAGCAACTGTTTTCAAGACTCAAAAAAAGTAGTACTACAAATACCCAATAGTGTCACGTCTATTGAAAACTGTTGTTTTATGTGTTGTAAATTGTTGACTTCTATAACTCTATCAAACAATTTACAGTCGATTGGAGATTCTTGTTTTGAACAATGTACGTCACTAGTTAATATAAATATTCCAAAACGTGTTAACAAATTTGGTGTTCAAAGTTTTGACCATTGTTTATCATTAAAGAAAATAACTATACCACATTTAATTAAAGAAATTCCAGAGAAATGCTTTTATCAATGCGCTTCCCTAAAAATTGTTCTTCCAAACACTCCTATTTTATTAAAAGATCAGTGTTTTGATGGATGCAAACATGTCGTTTATCAAAAGTAGTTATTAAACATTAATTTATTTTTATATACAAAAATTTAAAGTTATAATTAACATGTTGTTCATATTAAAGATATATACATATACAAATATAACAAATTAGATATAAAAATATAGTAATGTCTTGATGTTTCAATTTAAATAATATTTTGATAACAAAAAAATATGTTCTTTATTATCATGTCATATTTTAGATTAAGTTTAAGATATAAAGACATTATTGTTCAAATATAAGTGATTCTATTCTTATATTAACACACATTTAAGTTGGTACAAAGCTTTTTAAAATAAAATCCAATTTACAATACAATTATAATAAAATAAAGTCAATCCGAATAAGTGTGCAACTTTATTTTTTCTTTGTTTTTTACTCACAACAAAGGTGAAACTCTATTTTTAACAATAACAAAAAGTTGAATTAGGTTATAAATCAACATAAAATATAACTCAAATTTTAAATGATAACTTTCAACTGCTTGTTTTAATGAAAAGCATTAAAATTCCAAAATTCCAATTGTCATACAGAACAAATAAAACGGCGTTGTATATCGATTGTGGATGACGCAGATGTTAAACATCTCGTTTATAAAAAAGAAAATAATGAGACAAGCCAATTCGTGTGATTCAAAAACTTTTTCGCTGCAAAATTTCGATAAACACGAGACTGTTGAATGGTGCAACCCAAAAAATTAATTGAGAAAAATTGTGCAACTTTAGTTATAGTTTAGTTATAGTATTTTAATTAGAGTAATAGTTTTAAAGAAATTAGTTTGTGTTTTCTTGTTTTGTTTAATAAATACATATATTTTTTTACTATAATTATACTATAAACAAAGTTGCACTGACACGTCAAAGTTGCACGGTTTTAAGAGTGACTTCATATTATAATTTTAATAAAGTAAAATATTAAACT